CAAGCAGAGCTATTCAGATTGTCTGTCTGCATCAATTGACATGCAAATATTTTCATTCATTTCTTAGTTGTTTTTTTTTGCTTTATGGTTCATGTACATGTACCTAGAATTCTCTGCTTCCAATTCTCAAAAGAAGAGCATCAGGGTTACAGCCAGTAAATAAAAAATGCCTGTCTAAAAACTTTATGAGAATGAAAAAAAGCAGTTGCTCGCCTGATTCTTTCTCTTACAATTTTTGTTGATTGTTTATGGTTATTTTGTAATTTACAGGTATTTTCAATCAAAATTTTGCCTGTCAAATGAAATTTTGTACCTGTTTACAATGTGGAGACGAGTGCTTGTCTGAAATGTAAGGTCAATAGATGGCCGGCTGAACACCTGCCGAGAATATGTCATAATCCTAAACCAAGAACTTTTAGAAAAAACAAAAACAGACAATGTCCCTTTCCGTACGCTAACCAACTTCCCCCATGTTGGTGAAAACATCCTTGTTTCTATCAACTTCCTGTTCCAGTTTGTCTTTAGAGAAGACTATACACTAATTGGCATTTGACCATTTTTTGAATAAATTTAAGTATGCTTGTTGGAGCTAAACTTGTTTTAAAAATTATAATGATTAAATTTTATCTTTTTCGGACACTTGAATTTTTCGAACTTGTCTAAAGTTACATTCCTTGAAATTTCCTCTGTTTACATGTATTAGCATTAAAAGTAAACCAGCAATGCCCAAACAAGTTATGTATGCATATAGAGGCTATTATGCACACATGCAAACATTGTATTACAGATATATTAACCCTTATCCTGTCAGCCACACATACTTTTACATTGACTTGACCAGATAAGAGTTAAACTCCATCACCAGATATGTGCCATTAAAATAGCAATATTTATTATTAATAACCACATTTTCATTGTGGGTCCAGTTTTGGGTGCATTTGGAGTCTCTACTATTTAGGTAAAACTATTTGAAGAAACAGGGATATTCGTAGAGCATTATACTGATGTGGTAAACACCCACACCCCATGGCGGTGACTACATGACCCCACAGCACAGGGAAATACTATCGTGACTTTTGTGAATGAATGGATATATTCAACTTAGTAATATGTTCAGCTGCCGACACTTAAACTGCTTGAAACACATTGTACCTTTTATTTTCGCCGAGAACAATAAACAAATCTCTTAAAAGTTCAATTTTCCAACAAGGAAGTAAACGAAATATTTCGTGACCGTGAAGTGACGAGATCTTGCTGTCGACAGTTCCGCCCGATCACGCCAAGTACATGCATGTGTCTAACAACTGAACTGCGTCTCCGAATTATCCAAATTATCTAAAATGAACTTACCTGTCACCGAAATTTGAAGAACAGCGACAAATAACACCACAGCCTCCATATCTTCTGAACTTCAATGTCGAAGGCCGCACGATAAAGTTTACTAATTTGCATACAGTCAGGTGACCAACGCGGAGGTTACACACCGCCCACCCGGGCGCGACCGAAAAAAGGTTGCCCATTGTGAGATGTATGACCATTTTATCTCACTCCTTGAAATATTATGAGTTAATAAATAATATTATTTAATATCTCAATATTTTTGATAATATAGATTTCAAATATTATATTTATCATGTAATATGTTTATTAGGGTATTTTTGTAAATTTAATCGCTACAGAATAATTTGTGATCTGAACAAATGCAACGTACAACAACGTTATTCGTATCAGCGGTTTATAGTCATTACACCCGTTTAAGTCCTTCGGGTTGGTCCTTCGCGGTCCTTCGTTTTAGTGAGTACCCTCTTGTCTGGGGCATCGTGTTGTCAGTACGCTCCTGCGTACAGTATATTCACAGCTATGTTTATATGATCAAAATTATATCAAACTCATGTGACCTGCATTTTAGCTATGGTTCATGGTAAAACGGCAAAAGTGTCGTATTTATTTCATTTGACGCTGACATCCGATGATCGAGCATGAGAACGAAACGTCAAAGACCGCAACTACTACATTAAATTTGACAGTGTGACGAGACATAAGCCAACATATATCGTTGTAACGAAATATCGTTGACATGTAAGGTATTGAGTATTAGAAACTACGAAATTGTAGCAAAACCATGCAAATTACTTTTTCTTTCACTTAATACTTTGAATGTCATCATTTTTCCACTACTTTGTAAAGCTTTTCCCAATCTTTTTTTTTGAAAAAAAAGTTGATCAGAATTTGGTAAAAATACGCAAATGGTACGCTTAGTTAAAAGTCTTGTGGTGTTGAGGGACTGTGGTTGATCATATGCCGTGATCGCCGTGATCGAGGGTCGTTAACTAGGGGTCCGGACGTTTTCCTCGTTTTTGCGATAATTGAATGCCTTAAAGCAATAAAAAAAAACAAAAAAAAAAAACGATAATCTCATTTAAAAAATGACCACCCTTATCACGTTGGCAGTACCGGAAAGACACCCTTTTTGTCTAAAAAAAACACACCCTTTTAACGCGTTTTCTTTCACAGACATGCGTACCAGATCATTCTTTAAGTCGGACCCGGGCACGATGTTTGCCATTGAATGCCCCAAACGTGAATTTCGCGAATTGAAAAAAATAACGAATAACATTGATATAATTCATATGCTTATACAGCTGTCACCCCGGACACTGATCAAGACTGTACCCTCTTACTTTTTTCAATCAATCAATCACTTTATAATCAGTATTGAGTCTGTGAGCGTGTTGTGATTTCATCATCGGAGATTGCGTTTTATGTTCAATATTATTAAAGGGCGGCGACTCATAGCGACGTATACAACGCGTGTAAAATACATTGTATATTTACATAAAATTCGAACACGCGCTGCGCGACGACCATCGCGCTTTAAGTAGCGGGACGAGTGTGCCTTGTCACAAAATCATCACCGCCGAAATGGTATCACTTCCACCACGGTTACTAAAAAAAAACACGGTTTTAGAAGTATCCGTACTTCCACGTTTCATATTGTGTTTACATGTCCCGGGGTACATTTATGTTTATTCTGGAATGCCGAGTAGCTGAATTTACTCAGTAACATAAGTATTTCAGAATTAACAGTAATATAACTCATTAAACTTTATGTCTCATTGTCGACGCATGATAAACCAAATACTTTCAGGTCAAGTGTTCTTTATGGCTCCTCGATGTGGCATTTAAAGATTGATAACAATGGTAAACAATGGTCTCTGATGTCACTTATTTTCGGTACCCCCCCAAAAAAAAAAAAACTTCCTCCATCCAATTTCATGATGCACAAATACCGTGAATGAATATTTATAAAATACAATACATTTTGTTGTGCTTATGTCTTAAAGACGTTGTCTTTAGGATAATAACTAATTGTAAATCAAATACATAAAAATTCTGTACATTCCACAACCCGTAGCAGCCTTGGGCAATAATTGACTAACATCCACTCAGACCTTAGGGACCTGGACGTTAATTATCCGTTTGATTTGGGAACCAAATTGTATTAGCTCGCACCTTGTATTTGTACCAGACAGCGATAGATGTCATGTGGGATAATTAAATTATGTTGACGGTTAACCGTCATAGGCAATACCTGCGTGAGTTGATGACATTGTTTGGTGTATGCGCTGTCATAAGATTGCGTTCAAGAAGATTCAAGCTGAATTCAAGGTTATATGCTATGTTCATTATACATTATACTATCATTATTATGAGTTTATACCATCAGATTACCGAAAAAATGGGGTCACCAGACAAAAGTCCCCAATGTCATGAAAATTGTCATTGAAAGTTTATATCCCAATAACACGTTCATATATCATTTAGAATGACAAACCCCCCAAAGGTGACGTCATATGCTATTGATAATGTCTAATGTTTGAATATGATAAGTCATTGCCGTTTGATTGGCTAGTGTAACTTTAGAGGGCGGAGTTTATGTCAGAGTCACCTGGAAGGTATAAGGTATGAAGTTATATGTTTTTGCTGAGTAGTTGAATAAAAGAGGAAGTTTACGACGGGCGTTGCTGAGAGCTCGACTCGGAGCAGACATTGAACTGATTGTTTACCGTGTTGCATGTACAAATATATATTTATTGGAATGAATGAGACTTATCCCCGAGATATGCCCCCCCCCGTATGATCTAAATGACGATATTCCATTTTTAGGGCGAGCGCAGTAGTATCCGCCGCTATCGCCATGGTGACTGGAATATTTTCACGTGATAATATCGTCACCACCTTCATATCCCATTGTCGACGCCATAATAAACAAACTACATTGACAGGTCAAGCGTTACTTATGTCTCCTCGATCGACGTGACATTTGAGATAAAAAAATAGATGTAAACGCAATATATGGGAATTCCGCATATTACTTTAGCACGTCAATTGGGTAACATCGACTCGGTCCTTAGAAACCTGGACGTTAGTTATCCATGTGAATTGTTCGTGACCTAAATTGTATTAGCTCTCCATTACAACCACTAAAATGTGTACCAGGTAATGACGGATTCATGATTCTGTTACGTGACGTCATAATATCGTCAACGCCCAATGAGATCTGCACTAATTATCTCTCGGGTTGATTTCGTGATAATCGGTTAAAGGGCGGTAGTCGTCGCGCCACGCATGCGCGAGATTAGCGGTTCTCATATACTAGTAAACAAACTTAGACGTTACCAAGCCCTGCAGATGCAGGTTCGTGGGCACTAAGAGTTTTTTTTTTTTTTTGTTTTTTTTTTGCTTTTTCTTACCCAGACAGTCTTGGCTAGATGATGTTAACATTTTGGAGCATTGTCATTGCTGGAACATACTCAAAAATCGATTTTAAAATATAGGGAACCGAGGCACGCGTATGTGATTAAAAGCCCCGAAATTTTGTTTACGTTGCTCTTTGATTGACAAGTCACTGTTGACGTTATATGTAAATGAGTTGCTGGCCTTAGTTACGGTGCGGCGATGTGTTACTTCATGTCTGCGACCCTGTTTAACTTACCTCAAGCGCTATCAACTAGTCTCGCAAACTACAAAAAACAGACAAGACGTAGACGCTTCCAGCATGCAAGCGGAATACAAAAAACATACATGTAAATGATAGGTAAACCTGTTCACGCATATCTCGCAACATGTCGACAACTTCTAGCCTGGCAACGTCCAGTGGTGTATTGTTAACTATTTTTTTTTCACGCATATTTTATTCTCCGAAGGCATTATAAAACTGACTAATTATACATTTTTCGTTTCGCTGTATTTTTAGGTGATTGGAAGGTATCGAAGGAGTCACCGGCGGTAATTAGTGCAAGTCGCCCCCAGGTCAAACCTCATACTTGTGATTCCCATTAGGAAAAGCGCATTGGATTGTGGGAAAATCAATGTTTATCAACACAAATGTCGCACATGCGCAGCGCGACGACCACCACCCTTCAAATTGTTTCTAGTAGTGCAATAGTGCAATAGTGCAATCGTTTGTGTGTTTGGTATTTACCTGTACCATTCTACCTTTGCTAAAACGAAGAGACGCAGTACATATTTTAAAACAAAAATAATGAACGTATCATTTTCATAGCCAGGTTGATGAACTTGACAAACGTAATTTTATTTGATACACCACGGCTTAGTTAAAACCTCGTTGTCACTGACTGTCGTATTGTTTGTGAAATCACATTCCCTCTGGCGGAACTATGTCAAACTAAAGTGTTCCCACTCAACGAACTCTGTCATGGCTATGCTTTACAAATATTGGACACTACGAGACTCTTTTTGACGCCATTGTAAGGATATTTGTGTATACCCATTACTTTATTGAAA